CATTTGATATCAGCCGAGAATTGATTGGTCATCCTGTTTTCAATGTCTTTATGGAAAACTCTCGCACAGAGCTTTTCAGTATCACAACTGTTATGTTATTAGTATAACATTTGATTTGGTGTTGTATTTCTTACAATCTGATTAAAACAGATCTTATATCGTTTCGTTTTTTCTACGTCCTGTCTGTGTGTATGTGTATGATCGTGTATTTGTGTACGTGGGCGTGCGTGTGTTTGCTGTGGGTCGCCTACAGGGCGCAATTCTTAGTGGGTTGTCTTGAAATTTTGCATACTTATTCCTTATACTACAAGGATGATCCCTATTGTTTTTGGTGCACGCCTGGCTCCCAGAGGCAGAGCCGCGCCCATTTTTTATTTGTTTGTTTGTCACCTGGATCATCTTGAAACTTTGCATTCTTATACCTTTTACGCTAAGGATCGCCCCTATTGTTTTTGGTGCTTGCACCACTCCCAGGGGGAGAGCCACACCCAATTTTGTGTGTTACTTTGTGTCGGCTATAGGTCACAATTCCTAACAGATCCTTTTGAAACTTTGCATACCTATTAATTATACCCTAAGTATGATCCCTATTGTTTTTAGTGTATGCCCAACCCCAAGTGCCCGAGCCACACCCATTTTTCTTCGTGTGGCTGTGTGTTGCCTACAGGCCACATTTTTTAATGGATCGTCTTGGAACTTAATATACGTATTCCTTATAGCCTAAGGACTAGAAATATTGATTTTGGTGCATGCCTCGACTCCCAGGGGCAGAGTCACGCCCAATTTTTGTGTTTATCGTATACTGGCCGCAATTCTTAATGGATTAACTAGGCAAATACGCAGGGAAAGTTGTTGTATTTGGCGCCTGAAGGCCACAATTTTGGATGAATTATCTTGGAACATGGTATACTTATTCATTATACCCTAAGGACGGCAATTATGGATGTTGATGCATGGTCCGCCCGCCCCCTGGGAGGTGCCACACCCACTTTTTGTTAATATTTTGTCTGTAAATAATCTGCAGCTTGCGCGTAAAAGAATCCTTGACAGTTGGAATTCGAAATAAAAGTAGGCCGTACGTCCATAGTGCCACTGTCCGGGCAAAATTTCCCTTATAGCAAACAGCATGGTGTATGCCTGTCTTCATTAGTCTGATCGGTACTGAGAAGCAGGACGTTGAACCCCATTATAGTGCGAGGCCAAGTTGGGTACCTAAGCAATCCCCGAGCATCTTCCCCATAAGATTATTTATTGACTTGAGGAGTTAAAACAACAAAGTCTCAAAATCTCATGTTCTCTTTGAGCTGGTGTTAAGACCATTAACATATAACTTAAACTTTAGACACAAAACGTTTTGAAGAAACTACATTTGTTTTTGGATGGAGATTTCTACAATGGTATCAAACGAAAAATAAAAATAACCGCACTTTTTGACATATTGTTAAAGTAGACGTACTTATACATTTGTATATGGATGGCTCTTCAAAGAGATTCGGAGGGCCGTTAGAACAAAGAAAGATGTAGGACTACACATTAACGCTCTCAGAAATCACTGTAGAGTGAACGTTTATGTAGTATGGTAACAAAGGATTGATTTAACGTTAAAATCAATTTTAGGATTCGTTGTTCTAGAGCAAAATCTATGAAATATAGATCTTTCATTTGGCCTCAAAAATTATATCAATAATTGACTAGACATTTATTTACATTTCAGACCCATAATCAACTCTCTAGAGCTTCGGATGGGTTTGGTTTTCAACAAATTTAAATACGATTGGCAGTTAATGATTTAAATTGAAAGTGGACAATCGAGACTACACCGTTCTGCAAACGACGCTAACTCCGCTCAGAATGAAGTAATTTTACTGAAATTTTCAAATTTCATTTTCATTATCTATTTTTTAACTATTATAGCGAGAAGGGCCAGCTTTTTATTTAAATCTTACACAATGCATCTTTAAGAGATTTAACTTGTGTTCCATAATTCAAGTTAACAATTACGTCACTCATGCAATTAAACAATGGAATTCCATAATTGAGTTTTAAAGGGGTATTATGTAAGATTTAGATAAAGAGCTTATAATTCTCGCTATAATAATTAAAAAAATAGATAAGGTTGTAAATTTCAGTCAAATTACTTCAGCCCGAGCCGAGTTATCGCGTTAGAAGAACAATGTAGCCTCTATTTTCATTGTCACCGGTACTAAGATAATAAACAAAGTTTCGATTATCGATTTTTGTTCTAATCTACTTAAAATCGGAGCCATCCTATGGCATCGAGAGTTGATTATGATCTTGTCATGTTTATATAACATTTAAGGGCTAAAGAAAGACTAGCATTAGGCAGATTTAACTCTTGCATAATGCATGTTTAACCATGGTAACGCGGTTATGGACATAATGATCACGTCCAAACACCTCAGTATTTTGAGTTGAAACTTTCAGACAAACTATTGGTTGTATTGTTTTTCATATTTTGCGTTTAATTTGTATTCGTAAACCTACTTTTATCAACGGCTACCTAGTGAAATCTGGGACTGTTCCCTTATTTCTTTCTACTCATAAATAAAATCAATAGGTATCCTATAATACTATGGTCATTTTGGGACTTACATGCAATTATTTTATTGCTATTACCAATGCTAGGGAAGACAATTTTAACCGGACAGCAGTTTTTCCACACGAATTTCAACTTTCAAGGGGTTTTTTTTGCATGCACACTAACATGTAACACTAAGGAACCTGGTAGTTTTTGTCCGTTCCGAAAAACTATGCAAGACTTTTTTAGTCATATCACAGGCGCTACCTCTAACAAGCGAGAGCCGGGGTTTTAAAATCTCGATATTTTCTCTGGTCAGTAACCTTATAGATTACTGTGGGAACCTTACTTATACCTACCTGTGTCAAATGAGCAGTGTTAGAAACAGAACATGAAGGAGAACTCAAACATAAGAAGTTGTTTTATTATAAAAGATAAATTAAATGTTTGTATCCCGTGGAATTTTAAAAGGTATTCTAAGTATTTTTACTACGGAAAAACGTGTAAAAAAAACCCACCCAAAACAAAACTATTTTTATTTATGAGTGACGTCAAAAACGAACTAGTTTATGAAATGTGTCGACTGAAACGAAGCTCGCCGTTATGTTCTTATGATTACAATAAAAATCAAAATGGTCTATTGCGTTGCTTGGAAGTGTACACGTAATACAAAATCGGGAAAGAAGTTTCCAAGCCAGGTAACCGATTCAGTGCAGGGAAGTTTGGATTGCAGACGAATCTATTTGGGTTCCCATTTTCTTCTTCTTCATAATTATTTTATAAGAGACTATGTTGATTTATCTCTTTGATTTATTTTTCTAAATGTCTTTGCTAGCGATCAATTCAACAACTGTTTATAATTAGTTTAAATATTTGCTATCATGTTATATTTATTCATTTGTTTTCTCAGGTTAATGTTCTTAGAGCTAAGAAAAGTAAGATACCGGGCACCTAGTCATTCCGTTATAGAGTAGTTTAAGTAAAACTTTTTACAATTAGAACAGTTTAATAAAATTCATTTCTGTCGCCTCTAATCGTTTCCCATCAGGAAAATTAAGTCTATAAACTGGTAGAATTCTGGATATATCCAAGGGGTATATCAAGACATCTATGTTGCAAAATCAAACTACCACGAAATGAACCAGGGCCCCGTTTCTCGAAATGTTAACTAAAGTTAAAATCCAAATTTTAGTAAATACTTCAATTTTGATTGGCTAAGCTCTAAAATCAATCTAATATTATCCAATCAAATTACTAAAATTTGGATTTTATCTTAGTTAAAATTTCGTGAAACAGGCCCTAGTGCTATAAAATTTAAGCCTAAGATAAACCAGCATTGTCAGGAATTTTCAAAATCGAATTGAAAACTAGTGGGTGTTTACACTACAAGTTAAAACTAATCCACTATAGATTTATATGATGTGAATAATTAGTGTCAACTCCATCGTCGATACCATATAATATTAATTTATTTTTCCAGGTGAAATGTATGATGGTACTTTAAACATACATTATGCAAGAGCTGAATCTGCCTATTGCAGGTCTTTCTTTAGGCCTGAAATGTTATCTAAATTATTAATTAGACATTAAAGATACATTATGGGAGATTAGATAAAGAGTTGGCAGTTCTCACTATAATAGTTAAAAACCAGACAACGTAAAACGAATTTGCTGAAAATTTCAGTCAAATTGATCTACTCTGAACCACGATTATAGCGATTGAATTTTCGGCCTAAAAAACATAGTCTCGGTTATCCATTTCATGATTAAATCATGAATGGAAGTCGAACAGCAAATCGGAACCTAATCCAATAAACATCACAGGCTAGCGATGATATCGAGAGTTGATTATGGTCTGGATAAGTTAATTAATGTCTAATTAATAATTTAGATAACATTTCAGGTCTAAAGAAAGACCTCAATAGGCAGATTTAGCTCTTGCATAATTAACTTATCCAGACCGTAATCAACTCTCGAAACAAGTCTGCGATATTTACCGGATTAGGATACCATTTGCAGCGCCACTTTCATTGTTGATTTAATCATGAAATGGATAATCGAGACTATGTTTTTAATCGTACCGACTTTAGTAATGATGATTGAGGCTAGGCTCAAAATTCAATTTTCAGCAAATTCCCTTTACATTATCTAGTTTTTAACTATTATATTGAGAACTGCCAGCTCTTTATCTAATCTACCATAATGCATCTTTAATTAAAGGGAATATTTGAAGAGTTTTATTAAAAGATAACCAAGTGTTGTATATTTTGTCTGCTTCATAGAGTCATCAAAATCGATGATGTATTGATTGCGCCGAGTTTATAATTTGATTATGTTGTTCTGAATTCATTAAAGCTTTTAGGGCGTAAGACCGGTAACATCTTGATTGACAGATGAAAAAGTCAATATATTCATTTTCTAACATCTCATTTCAAGCACACGGATGTAGTCAAAGATAATGAGAAGAAAATAAGAGAAACATCCATGTTTGATTATCATTTCCTCTGATTTCTCCAATGAATCAAAGAAGACACCATAAATATTGTATTTTTGAAATGAGAAAATGAACACTTTAATTTTGTTCAGTGCTGGATTTATCTTTCTGTGTACATCCACGGATGTGTCAGCTACTATCAGATACGTCAACGCGCGAGCAGTTACTTCTACAGATCACTATCTGGATGTTGTACCAATAGAAGAAAAACTGACCTCTTCTGTAATGTGTGTAAATCTATGTACTACTGATGCTAGATGTTTATCTATTAACTACCATAAAAATAAAACATGTCAGCTATTGGACACATTCTACTGTAAAAATGATACATATGTACTCCAACCAGAATCCGGATTTAAATATATGGATGTAGATTTTAATCGTCAACCTGATGTAAGTATTTGATAAATTCTTTCCTGAAAATAGTTAACTTTTTTATCTATATTTTCACCATTTTTTAATTTATATATTTTGGAAAACAATATGTAAATGAAACAAAGGGAAAATTGCAATAAATAGTGACATAACTTGTTAGTTTAGGCGGGTCTCATGGATCTGTTCTTATTAGGCCATTTTTTAAAGGATACGTTAAAGAATTCAGTCTACATCTGAGTCTAACTAAACTTGTCCTGTATTATAGAAAGGGCAGCTTCGTGTTATTCTATACTTGATAGTCGTTTTAATGAGTTACTAATAAAAAAAATGGTCCTAAACGTTAATTTTATACACCCACATATGGTCGTATATGCTGATTACACTATTTTGCCTGATTACACTATTTTGCCTATACCGTTTTTTTAGGACTTCGAATTTTGTCTAATGGTTTGGATTGTTCGTACTTGGTTTTATTTTATTGTAATCATCCGGTCTACCCATACTTTCTTGTCAGCACTGTATTTTACCTTACAATGACATCGATATCTAAACATCTAATTTTTGGTTCTCTGTGGTACGTGCTGGAATAGATTTGAAGTATATCTGAACCATGACATATCATACATTGACACCTGGTTGAGGGAGATAAAATAAAAAAAAATCTCTCAAAATATTAGCCCGTGTCATTTTCTCCAAACATTTGAGCAAAACTCCGATACTTTTTGATCCAGGGCAAGTTGCCCTAATGATAAACACGTACAGTTACCAATCATCTATTATCAGGAGCGGACTGGGTGTCGGACCGCCAGACTTGGTCCGATGGCCCCAATGGACCCGATTGGACAATTATTATTTGACATACAATTTTGTTCAAAATACCTAAAATTCATCTATGAGTGAGATTCAGGAATAGTGAATCAAACCGGATGGTTTCAGAGTCCAAAGCTACCAGCACACCCCTTACAATTTTAATATGCTAAATTATGATTATAAATGGTTGCAAACTGCGAACTTTTTAAAACCGAAACCAAGAAAATTGGACACCAGCTACAATCAGTCGATCGCCATGAGCGTTAAAGGACAATATTGATGTCAATCATTATCACATATGGAAGAACTGGTTAAACACGTTCCAGATATAATTTTAACACAGAAATCATTGTTACGATAGATGCGTAATGAAGGTTTCAACAAACGGAAGTGACGAACGCAAAAGGAAAACCCGAGTTACCCTTCTATATAACTGACTTAAGTGACGAGTGATAACAGATACACGGGCGAATTTCTGCTCACTAATAATTCCTTCCAAGACCAAAAGTTATTTGTGTGAAACTGTGAGAGGATATCTGACAATTCAAATAAGAAATTTACTGTCACTAGAAAAGAGAAAACGAAAAAATATAGAAAATATCCGTGCATTACCATGTTTTTATTAATTATAGAATGAATAAAAACAAGTGAATATACGGACTATTTTTATTTTTCTCGTACTCTCTTATCTAATGACATTTAATTACTTTTTTGAATTGTCAGATATCCTCTCACAGTCTCACATAACAACTGTTGGTCTTCGAAAGAATTATTAGTGAACAGAAATTCGCCGTTTATCTGTTACCACTCGCCACTTCAGTCAGTTATATAGAAAGATAACTCGTGTTTTCCTTTTGCGTTCGTAACTTCCTTTTGTTGAAACCTTCATTACGCATCTATCGTAGCTATGTGTTAAAATTATATTTGGAACGTGTTTAACGAGTTCTATCTCATATGTGATAATGACTGACACCAATATTGTCCTTTAACTGGGTTGATCGATGGGTGCATGTACGTACATTGAGTGCGATAGGTTTTTTAGTATCTTTGGATCTGCTGAAAAGGGGGGAAAATGTTGTCATTAGGGCAATGGGAATATGAGGACATTGACGGGGGCATTTCCATGAGTATTCGAGCTAACTCTTTCGGAATGCGGGGGCACTTTTTTCAAAAATGAGGGCACTTTTTTGTAACGGGGGACACACACACCTATACCCTGATAAGAAATCTCATCGGATTCAAACATTATCATAACTTTTCCGGTTTCTATTGTTTTTGCACGCGTGAATTTGAACCGTATTCGTCGATATTCTTCTCGTCACGGACAGCTTCTAGGACTTAATCCCCGAAGTTAAAAGGTTTTTTTTTTTCAAAAATCGCCGATAATCATGAATCCAAAATTTCTGACAAATTCTGATAAATGTATTTTAAAATATTTTTTTTAGTTTATCGACGAATGTTTATACACACCCACACACAAGACAATAGAATTAATATTATTCTTGCGGACTTCTCAAAAGTAATTTGAAGCGATATCTTCTCGGGGTTATCACAAGAAGTCAAACATGCAATATTTCCTATGCAATCTATTATTGGGTGATGAACTGTTTTTTAATACGCTATTTGCTGGATAAAGAACACAATCAACAAAATATGTAAGACTTTTGTAGAATTTTTGCTCTTTTAGTTAGTAGCATTATATTAATTAATATCTTTGGCTAAGTCGTATCTAATGCACTCTTGAATGAGTGACAGATTGGTGTACATAAAAAGAGTTATAATTTGGTAAACATTAGCTGGTTCCGTGGGAATGAGAATATCATGTTTAACACGTGATCGGAAAATTACGATTGCATCATTTGTCTTAATTAACCAATCTCTATAATTATTTACATCATATTTGACCAATTAGATAATTGAAGGGCCAAAACCAAAAGCTACAAAACTATCATATTTGTGAGCAATCGTCAGACTTTACTGTTATTGTACTATGCTTGTATCTATGTATCCGGCTATGATATATAAAATGTAAAAACGAACTGTTGCATTGTTTTTCCTGGTAAGACAAATGTCTTAACTTACTGAGAAAACAGTAAGAAGTAAATACACAACGTGGAGGGGAAGCAAAGACGACAGGTGAAAATGCTAGACAATCACAAGGCTATTAAGATATGTAACAAGAAAAGATGCATGGGTCATACGTAGGATATGGCGACCGGTATTAGTACGTGGACCGCTTTCGACATCTGACAGAAAGACCCATGGTGCTACAAATATTTGCATTTTATCATCGATCAGAAAAGGTAAAAATTAACACATAGCTTGGATACAGCTTTCTTCGAATGAAAAGTACGTACCGGGATATTAGTTTTGGAAATTTTTTTTATCTTGGATAGGGATAGTAATGGTGGCTGATTAGGGACATGAAAAATAATATAATTTGTTTTTTATAATTTTCACCCAAGTCAGTTTTAATATAATTTGTTTTTTATAATTTTCACCCAAGTCAATTTTAATATAATTTGTTTTTTATAATTTTCACCCAAGTCAATTTTTACGGAAGCGTATAGGGGTCACGCCAAATTTTGTAGAAGACCTCGAGATCCTGCGATCCTGTGATACTTTCTTGAGATCTCAACTTAATGTTCTCGAAATCCCCTAATAATTTTCTCGAGAATCTCCCATCCTGTGTTAACGATCTCGAGAATTCGAGTTAACTTTCTCGGGATCTTGCCATCCTATGTAAATTTTCTCGAGATCTCGGGTGTTTTTATGCGTGCGCGTAGATTTAACGTATTCTCAGCGCCCCACAACCAGTCGTTTCGTAGTTTACCCCCCCCCCCCCCCCACACACACACACAACACTTTCCCCAAAACCTTAATAGCACGATAGAGCCTACAGATTTTAACGGATTTGTTTCAAATTTAGTGTAAAGTATTGGTGCCATGAGAGGGCGGTCCCTGTCGCTTCTAGCGCACCTTGTCGTTCTGGAGTTGTCCACCTTTTCCGAAAAAAATGTTAACCCATTAGAGGCTAAAGTTTTTAACTGATTTTGTTTTTCAAATGTGGTGTGAAGCACTAGGACCTTTCGATTTTCAGTACTTCGCAAACTTCTGTTCGAGAGTTACCCTCTTTGTCCGTATTTTTTTCAAATGTGACGATGAGAGGAAGAACCCTATCGATATAGAGCATTCTTTGACCTTCTGTTCCGTAATATAACCCCCCCCCCCACACACACACACACACCCTTCACCTCCCTGGAAGCCTTCTTCACGTCATATAGAGGCTTCGCTTTTACAATTTTGTGTGAAGCTTTGGGTCATTCATATTCAATGGTTAGCGATCTTCCGTTCCAGAGTTATACTCTCCATTCTTTGAAAAGCTCGTTTTTAAAGGATTTTCGATATTCAGTGTTCCGCGACAAAGATGACTGACCCCTGTTAATTTTCAGCAATATAAGGTTTTCTAACCCAGAGATATAACAAGCACGTGAACACGATAAAGATTAAATTTCTTGATGAATGCTAGATCCTTATTCAATTTATTAAACAACCAAGTTTTCCTTTCGAATAATTTGCTGTTGAGGCATAGATGCTGCGTGGGCGTATCTCCACACTTTGCGTGGCTATCGTTCAAATTCCTATTTTCCGGTAAACCTTGTGAACGCGTTAGAGCCCAGAGTTTTTCAAGATTTTTTATTTAAAATCTGCTCCGAAGCATTTGTGCCACAAGACAATAAACTCTATATCTAGCTTTATTCTAAAACAATATATGGTCTGAAAACCATGCGAAAAATGACATTTTCAATTAAACGTCGCTCACACATTAAATTGGAATAATTTAACAAGCATGTCTGTAATTCAAAGCTTCACACATTAAAGCTAACGTGGCAGGGTTTTGAATTTCATATTTGGTGTGAAGTATTGGGGCCATAAGAAGATGAACCCTATCGATTTTAATCATATTTCAAATTTAGTGTAAATCATGGGTACCCTATCGATTGTCCGTTTATTCTTTCATTAGTTAGCAGTTTTCCTTTGTAAAAAATGTTAGAGTACATTTTTTTTTATCAAATTTGGTGCGAAGTATTGGGCGAATGGTGGCTTCACAACGTGGAGATACTATCATGTAAAGTTTTATATTAACCCGGGATCTCGAGAAAATTTACATAAGATGTCAATATCTCGAGAACATTAACTCGAATTCTCGAGAAAATTTACACAGGATGTCATTATCTCAGGAAAATTGTCAGGGGATTTCGAGAAGATTAAATTGAGATCTCGAGAAAATTAACAGGTGATCACGGGATTTCGAGAAAGTATCACAGGATCGCAGGATCTCGAGACGTTCTATAAAATTTTGCATGACCCCTATACGCTTCCGTATCAGCCACCGTAATACTATCCCTATTTTGGGGGAATTTCCAAATAATTAGTAGATATGACTACAATTTAAGGATCTTTTGTAATTCCAATCTTCTGGGATAATTATAACTTTTACTTTAATTAAAATTTTAATTGAAAAACGAGTTAAAATCAATGCCTGCAAATGCATATTTACTTAGACAATTGCTAACCTATCTTATCAAGACGTGTACTTTGTTAAATCATCTGAAGCGGAACAAGTCGCTTAAGAATATTTTTTTTTCTTTTTACGTATTTGATTTTCCAACATCAATAATATATCTTACAGTAAAACATAAAATTGATTAAACCAATAACGCATACACCGAACTCAACAAAACGCCTGCATGTTCCATATGAATCGATATCATACACTGCCCTGTTATATAAATTCACAAATAATAATATGAATAGAAAATGAATCTTGTCTCTCCTCATTCCTTGAAGATCCATTATGTAAGCTTTAGATAAAGAGCTGGTGGGTCTTGCTATAATAGTTCAAAAATAGATAAGAAAAATGAACATAGTGAAAATTTCAGTCAAATTACTTTGTTTTGATCAAAGAAATGAGTATTTGAAATTTGGACAAAATCATAACGTAAATAGTTTAGATTGCCAAGTATCAGTACTACGTTAATAAATAAAGTCTTGATTATCCATTTTAACGTAAATTATTAAATGGTGCTTATGGTCTAATCCATTCAATAAAGAAAACGGGGGAAATAGAATTCCTTGGATGAGATGTAGTATAAAGGCTGAAAATATATTGTTCAGTAGATGTGGAAAAGTCACCAAAAAATAAAATCTGATCTTAGTAAATCATCTCAAAACTGTGCTAATGTATTGTGTAAAGAGGGTTCAATACCCATTTCAATAATTCGCTTGCACGTATAGGGGTCTTGAGCTGTGAAAAGAAAGTGGGGTACCCGGACAGGCGACCCTACTCCCTTGTCACGTTTAAGTGGCTTGATACAATGGCAGACCTTGTGATTTCACGCACACGCGTTAAACCACTAAACCACCCGTCATAACAATAGCCACTGCCTACTGTTAAACTACATAATAAACTAAATTGTTGTAAGTTGTCTTTCTTGTCAGACATTTTTAGCAGATAAAATATTCCAGCTGGCGGAGAAAAATATGAACAATTTTTTTTATATAAAAACTATTATCCATTTTGGCGGGAATAAAAATGAAATCTGTGTGAACCCTGATTGCACGTATTCAAATGTGAACAGGAAAACTTAAGACTACAACAACTTCCTAGGCGAAACTCGAAAAGTCGCCAGCACAACAGCAAGCCAAAATTGGAACGTGTGGTCTATTCACAAGGGCGACCAGACCAGATTGTATTTTAGTTTGATTTTCTATCGATTGTTCAACTTTAATAATCTGCGTTGAATTTTCAGGAGTTGAACCAATACCAGAAGTCAGTTGGCTGTGTTTCGCATAACAGGTGTTCTCCTAAATGTAAAGGTAATGTTCTGTCATTCTATTCCATAATTATCTTTGATATATACGTTCGGGGACTAATTGCGTGAAAGAAAGGGTTACATATTCATTATTGTTTACACATTTTAATAAAAGTAAATTATAACGTACATTATCACATTCTCTTGCATCAGTTCGAACATCAATGCCATCGGTACATTCTTAATTAGGCTAACACCATCTCATCCTGTAATACACTGTGGACAAATTTAGTAACAGTGTGTAGCCTTACACCTACACCTCTTATTTAGTTTTCAGCACTACAAGAATATATCTTGATATCAAGTCTTATTCTAACATCAATTGCATCTGCACATTATATAAGTTTCTATCGAAAAAAATAATTGGCAGATGAGTGGAAATGTCATAACAACAATTTTTATTCTATTTTAACGAAACTTAAAATATAGATCTATCTCCCAAAGATCTCGGTTCCTTTCGATATTGGCATATATCGGACCATAAATTCATGGATTATGGTCCCTGGTTCTACGAAAAATCACGTTTTTAGCTTGTGGACACTCTGGAGGTCACAATTTTCATCTGATTTTAATTAAACTTGAAATGCATGATTATAGCCCAAAGATCTTCCATTCGACATTTGCGCATATCGGATCGTAACTTCCTGAATTATGGCCCCTGGTTGTACGCAAAATCGCATTGTTTTAGCTTGTAGTCCCTCTAGAGGTCACACATAATTATCCGATGTAAAAAAAAACGTTTGAATATATCACCTTTACTCTGTAATAACGCTTTATTTGGAATTTCGTGAAAATCGGACTAAAACTACCGGACAAAATGGCCGATCCTCGTACGCAAATAGTGGAAAAATATGGTACCGGGTATATCAAGGTTGTGGACCCTCTAGAGGTCATAATTTTGATGAAACTTGGAATACATGTTTATAACCCAAAGATCTTGGTTCCTTTCAAAATTCGCGCATATTGGATCGTAACTTCATGAATTATGGCCCTTGATTGTACGAAAAATCACGTTTTTAGCTTGTGGTCACTCTAGAGGTAACAATTTATATCCGATTTAAACAACAGCATCGCTATCGCTGAAATATACGTCCACATTCCTGCTTTGATTCATATGGTACTTTTTAAAATAAAGTTAATGTGAGTGTGACGCCGCCCCTTGGAGTCGGAACATGCGTCAAAATAAATAATTGCTATTCTTACGGTATAAGGAATATGCCAACTTCCAAGATGACCCATTCAGATTCAGAATTCCAGCCAGTAGACAAAAAATAACCCGCAGAAATTGGGTGTGACTCTGCCCCTGGGGGTTGGACAATATAAATAGGTACAACCCTATAATGGATCATACCGAATTGGATCTAAATATGTTAATAATTTTGAATTATTTGCACACAATATATTAACAAAAAGTGGGTGTGGCACCGCCCAAAGGAGGGGGGGGGGGCATGTACCAAAATCAATAGTTGCCGTCCTTGGGGTATAAGGATTAAGTATACTAAGTTCCAAAATAATCCCTTGAGAATTGTGGCCTTCAGACGCTAAACACAAAAAATGGGCGTGGTTCTGTCCCTGGATTCAGGACATGCAACAATAGTTGCCACCCCTAGGCTATAAGGAATACATGTGCCAAGTTTGAAAATGCGGCCAGTATACGATAAACACAAAAATTTGGCGTGCCTCCGTCCCTAGAAGTCGGGACATGCACCAAAATCAATAGTTCCAAAACGATCCATTAAAAATTGTGGCCTGTAGGCAACACACAGACACACAAAACAAAAATGGGTTTGTCTCAACCCCTGGGGGTCGGGTATTCACCAAAAACAATAGGATCATCCTTAGGGTATAAGGAATAGATATGCAAAATTTTAAAAGAATCTGTAAAGAATTGCGGCCTGTAGGCGACACAAAGACACCCACACATATTGGGCGTGGCTCTGTCCCAAGGGGTCGGGCATGCACCGAAAATAATAGAGGTCATTCTTGGGGTATAAGGAATAAGTATGAAAAGTTTCAAGTCGATCCATGAAGAATTGCAGTCTGTAGGCAACACACAGCCACACACAGAGAAAAAAGGCGTGGCTCTGTCCCTGGGGGTTGGGCATTCACGAAAAGCAATAGGGATAATCCTTAGGGTATAAGGAATAAGTATCAAATGTTTCAAGATGATCCGTTAAGAATGGTGGCCTGTAGGTGACAAACAGATATAAAATATGGGTGTGGCTCTGGCTATGGGGGTTGGGAATGCACCAAAAACAATAGGAATAGGTGTGCAAAGTTTCAAGACAATCCATAAAGAATTGTGCCCTGTAGGCGACCCACAGACACCCCCCACACACACACCCACACACCCACATACACCACCACACACACACACCATCACACACAGGGGCGACGGCATAATACGTCCACATTATGAATGCGGACGTATAAAAACCGTTTCAATATGTCACCGTTACACCCTAATGATGGCTGAATTCGAATTTCGGGAAAATCGGACCAAAACTGCCGGGCAAAATGGCCGCCCCTCGTACGCAGATAATTTAAATATATGGTATATCAAGGTTATGGTCCCTCTAGAAGTCACATTTTGACGAAACTTGCAATATAGCTTTATAACCCAAAGATATTGGTTCCTGTCGATATTCGGGCGTATCAGATCGTATCTTCCTGATTTATGACCATTGATTTTACGAAAAATCGCTATTTGTTTAGCTTGTTCTCTATCCATCTCTTGCAAAATGTGGGCTTATCCTGCCTGACAGTCGCTGGTTTAACGTATTTTATCTTCAAAATAGATGTGAAGCATTGGGACAATGAGAGAATGAGCCCTATCAAGGTTACTTGTTCTGCGCTCATCAGTCCAGAACACCCCCCTCGCCAACCTACCCCTTTTTTAGAAGACTTTGTGAAAGCGACAGATACACCAGTTTTTACTGTAATTTTTTTTTCAAGCTTGTAAACACGAACATGCAGCTGTTGTGTGGGCGTATCTCCTCGCTTTGCGTTGCCATCTTACAAATTGTATACAGCCATTGTGTTAATACTTTTTTGTTTAATTTTCGTGTACATGAAGTTCAAACTTAATCATACCACAGTAATATAAGGTCTGTACTCTTTGCCTACAGCTGGAATTTACTACCCAGATTTGGTAGAATTTATGTCATCGGTTGACTGTAATTTACAATTCCTTTTTATTGGTTTGAATCGACAGGCCACATGCCAATCATATGGGGGAATTCCGCCTAACGTATAATTTCTGCTCCCATGAACATAATCGGTCTAAGTATTTCATTCAAATGAAATGAAATGGGGTTTAACGTCCTACTTATTTCATTCTAACGACCTTTTATAATGATATGTTATTTTTTCAGATTGTTCTCTTTGGAATGCTTATAAGAGCCAAATATATGGTTATATAGATCAGGAAGCGGCAACCATTGAAGAAAAGACAATCACAACGATGGACGGATGCAAAAGTTATTGCTATCTCTTTGATGTTTGTAGAGCGCTTACTTATATTGCTGCCACTGAGCAATGTACATTACTATCATTAACACGAGACATGGCAAATCCCGACTCATTCAAACTATCAAATGACATTGTATACAGAGAACGATGGTGTGTTTAAACGTTTATTTTTCACAGATCTTGTTCGGTTTATTTTCAAATGAAAATTCGGGATTTTGACGTGCATCATGATGCAAATCGAAACCAGTTTTTAACCAATTATTACCATGTCTATTCCCCAAATGTTTGACGCATAATATACCATACTGATACCAATTTCTATAAAGAATAAAAAACAAAAACAAAAAAAAACCAAAAAAAAAACAAAAAGGCATTGGAATTTTCGAACTTAGATGCAACCACATTTGTAGAAATATTGTCGTTGCGTCATTGTTTTAAAATTTATAGACAAGGAATAGAGAAAAATGATGGCATTATATTGTATTAATTAATATCTTTGACAACTTATTAGATTCACATATGTAGTATGTACTTAAATCAACTTAGTGAATGAATGACATATTGTTATATAAAAAAGAGTCATAATGTGGTAAACATTCAATTCTAGGTTAATAACAGATATCTCATGGGAAGTTTCTCCAGTAAATTACCATTACCATATAAGGGTGGGTTTCGACGTCATTTGGCTCAATTAACCAATCTCTCTAATTATTTAATGTGTTCCTTATTTCAATTTAAAAATACTCCTTACAACTCTATAAATCTTAAATTACAAATTCCACATCATTTATATCATATTTGACCAATGTCTGTGTGTCGCCTACAGGCCACAATTCTTAATCGATTGTCTTGAAAACTTTTCACACGTATTCATTATGCCCTAGGATGACCTGCTTTTTTTTGGTGTATGCCCGACCCCCCCCCCCCCCACGGAACAGAGCCACGCCCAATTTTTGTGTGTGTGTCTGTGTTTCGCCTACAGGCCTCAATTCTTAACAGATCCTTTTGAAACGTTGCATACCTATTCCTTATACCTTAAGGATGATCCTTATTGTTTTTGGGTAAATGCCTGACCCCAGGGACAGAACTACAGCCATGTTTTCTTTGTGTGTCTGTGTATTGCCTACGGGCCACAATTCTTAATGGATCGTCTTGGAACTTTGCATATATATTCCTTACAGCCTAAGGACGGCAACTATTGATTTTGGTGCATGTCCTGACCCCACAGGGCCAGAGCCACGCCAAATTTTTGTGTTTATCGTATACAGGCCGCAATTCTGAATGGATCAGCTTGGAACTTGGCATGTTTATTCCTTATAGCCTAAGGGTGGCAACTATTGATTTTGGTGCATGTCCCGACCCTCAGGGGCAGAGCCACGCCTAATTTATGTGTTTACCGCCCGAAGGCCACAATTCTGAATGGATTATCTTGGAACTTGGTATACTTATTCCTTATACCCTAAGGAAGGCAACTATTGATTTGTTTTATTTTAGTGCATGACCCCCCACCCCACCCCCACCTCAGACCTTTGGGCGATGTCACATCCACTTTTTGTTAATATTTTGTCTGTAAATGATATATAGGTTGAAATTATTAACAAATTTGGATCCAATTCGGGATGATCCATCATAAGGATGTGGCTATTTATATTGGTCCATGTCCAACCCTTTTGTGTTTTTGTCTACAGGCTGGAATGAATCGTCTTGGAACTTGGCATATTTATTCCTGCAAGGATAGCAACTATTTATTTTGGTGCATGCCCTGACCCCCAGGGGTGTTTAAATTCAGCATATCAATCATTTCAATAACAGGGTGGTACCTATTTATATTGTTCCAAATCCACCTCCCAGGGGCAGAGTCACGCCCAATTTTTGTATTTATCATCTACAGATTGCAATTCTGAATGGGTCATCTTGGAACTTTGCATATTTATTCCTTATATCGTAAAGATAGCAACTATTTATTTTGGTGCATGCCTTAACCCCTGGGGTGGTGTCACGCCCACTTTTTTGTTAATATTTAGTCTCTAAATTTGGTAAAACAAACCCAACGCCTAGCCTCCTTTGCCTCTTGTCATATTAAAGTCATTGCAGCAATTTCATATTTCATTATCTTCATTTTAAAAAGTACCATATCAATGAAAGCAGGAATGTGGACGTATATTGCAGCGTTAGCGATGCACTAGTTTTTTCTGTTTCCACCTTGCTTATTTCGCACAAATATGCTGATTGGATAATTTTGAAAAGTCGGCACATGACAGAACCATGCGAACTCTCCGAAATAAGTAATTTGGTGTAAAAGGTTAGGTCTTATTTAAATTTTAAATATATGTATCTGGTAAAATGATTCAGAATTTTGTTTTCTGCGACTTTATAGCTCTGTTTTAGAGCAAAGTCTGGGAATGTGGCATTTTTAGAAAACGTTTTAGTTTTAGCTTTTTGCGTATAAGCTGGGTAATAATTACCCGACTGACCCACAATTAACGGCATTCCTAGAAAACGTGCATTTTTTACCTTTTCGGAACACTATTAATGGTTAAAATTTAGCTGCCCTTGTAAATGAGCAGAGCAAGGCGGAAGCCAATGTTCGAATTTCGTTTTCCTGCAATTTGGATATTAAGGTTGAAACATAACTATTTTCAAAGGCATATATAAGCCATATAATTCATTTTAAATTTTTTACATTTCCGGGAAATAGACATGTTTGTGGGAATCACTTTCAAGTTTTTATGCGCATAAAAGAATAAATGGCTGTTCGATTTTTATAAAAATTTGCACCATTCTGTAAATAATATTCCGTAGATGTAACCAACTGGTCACCGAAAATTGTATTTTTGCGAACATATTATACATCAAAAGATAATTTCTAACTTGATCATTGCCAAGAAATAGGCAATTGTCCAAGAGTAAACTTTTACCATTTATTGATAGTTTAATATACATTTTACCATTTGATACCTTATATTTTTATCCTTTGAAACAAATATTTGTTCTGAAGATTGTTATTCGCTACCCTTTACTAATACTATTTACTAACTTCCTTTAACTAATAGTATCCCGATATACGACCATGTTAATATCATAAAATAATTTTTAACTTCGTCCTTTGCCGAGAAATAGACGAATGTATGCAAATATGCGATCAGGCAAATATCACAAAATAATCTCCAACTTTATCCATTGCCACGAGATGGCCTATTTATCAATATTCACTTTGTAAGGTTTTTACACTTCAATATGTATTGACACGTATTGCGATCTGTTATACCGTATCATTAGTACCAGTTCTAGTTTTCGATTTGTTTCAGAGCTGTTCCTAAATGCAAAATAAATATATGTATGTTTAGAACAGCACTATTTTTTGGTCACAGTATTTTGATATTCCGCACTGTTGATTACATCATTGATATTCAAAGTATTGCATTGCTACCAAAATGTCCCCACAGAACACTTATTTTCAGCAGCAGATGGAATGGTAACCTTTGGGATAAAGTGTAAATTTTTTTGTAAGATATCTTATAATTTTTTGAATTTACAATAGTATCCCATACCGGTATTCCTTTTAGAATAGATCTTTAGATAAAGACACAAAAGATTTGTTTCTGATGTCGTAGAAAAGAAGAAAAACAAACGAATCTTAGGAAAATATAGTCCCTTGATTAATTAAATATTGTTATGTACAATTTCAAGATAAAAAAATACGCGATATGTCCAGCATATTGCGGCCATTTCATAATCTCGACTTTTCGCGCGAAAACACGAGGGAGTGAGAAGTTGCGGGCGAGAACATGAGAACGCGAGGGAGAGAGAAGTCGAGGGTGATGACACGAGGGAGCGGGAAGTCAAGGGCGAGAACACGAGGGAGCGAGAACGCGAATGAGCGAGAAGTCGAGAGCGAGAGTGCGAGAACACGATGAAACCGTGCGAGAATACGAGGATCTCGCCCCGAGAACACGAGATTATTTTCACTTCGACTTCTCGCTCCCTCGTACCTCGAGTTCTAGTCGCTCCCTCGCGTTCTCGCCTTTGAAAATCCTCGTGTTCTCGCACTCTCGTCCTCGACTTTTCGCTCCCTCGTGTTCTCGCCTTTGAAAATCCTCCACTTCTCGCTCCCTCGTGTTCTCGCCTTTGAAAATCCTCCACTTCTCGCTCCCTCGCGTTCTCGTGTTCTCGCACTCTCGCTTCGTCACAATCTCGCCTCGGAAGTGCAATGTATGCGCATGTCCAATAACTACCGTATCGGCATTTATATTTGGACATGGATTCAAATAGACGAAACTTTTGTGGTTCTAGAAAGTTTAATAGTCCTAACCAATTTAAATCTCTACTTGCACAGATAGTATTGTATTCTGTACTCAATTTTAGGTCTTCCGTCGAATCTTTCATCGGGATTTTTCATGCGTGGTTCCCCCTGATCAGTGGTGTAGGACGGAAAGCCTGGCAAGGGAAAACGAATAGTGGTCCGGAATCGAAATGAAGTAGGAGCAATGGTGGCTCAGTGAGTAGGACGTTTGCTCTCTAACTTCATCAAAGATCATCGGGACTTTTCATGCGTGGTTTCCCCTTGGCAGTGGTGTAGGACGGGGCCTGGCAAGGGAAAACATACAGTAGTTCGGATGGGATAAAAGTAACCGAGGTTCCGTGTCCGGAATCTAAATGAAGTGGGGGCAACGGTGGCTCAGTGAGTATGACGTTTGCTCTCCAAATTCATAAAATTTCATCGGGATTTTTTATGCGTGGTTACCCCTTGTCAGTGGTGTAAGACGGAGAGCCTGGCAAGGGACAACGTATAGTCGTTCGGATGTCTGGAATCGAAATGAAGTGGGAGCAACGGTATCTCAATGAGTAGGAGGTTTGTCCTCAAACTTCATCAATGTTCGGAGCCACGGTGGCTAAGGGGGCAAGACGCTGGCTCGCTGGCCTGGAGGTCGTGTGTTCGACGTTTTAAGACACACGCGACGAAGCGTGGTTCAATGGCCTATAACATTCATGTTGTAATGCTGGTTAATTTAATACCACATAATAATGCATACATACATACATACATACATACACACATACACAATTTTATTTTATTCATATAGATATCACCGAAAAGTTCTCATGACCCGGATTTGGGACGTCCAGGCTATATCAAAACCACCTAAATAAGGCTTAGTGGCAAAATATTATTTTATTCACAGAATCAACAAACTTCTTGCAGGGAGACTTCGCGCCTCCCCCACCTGCGTCCCCCCCCCACCCTAGTTACGGGTCTGTTTGGTGGCTCGACGATGTTTATATCTCCACATTGACAGATGACTAAGTATTAACATGCCAAAGATCATAAACTTTCTATGTTGCATTATCGAGCCACTCTTTATTACAATAATGTGCTTGCGTGTAGAGGTCTTTAGCAGTGTGGGAAACCCGGAGGACCCGGAGAAAACCCACACGGTTGGAGAAACGACCCTAAACCTTGTCACGTTCAAGCGGCGAACCGAAACCGAGCCACTTGAATCAATGACAGACCCCACCCCTTCCCGTCACGCTAATGTGGACTTCGTTTTTTTGTCCCATCAGAACGATTATACGTTGTCCGTTGCCAGGCCCTCCGTCCTCAGTCCTACACAACTGACAAATGTGGACACCTCCAGAAAAACCCTGATGAAGTTAGACAGCAAACGTCATAGTCACTAAGCCACCGTAGCTCCTACTTCATTTGGACTCTGGACACGGGACCTCGTTTTTTTTTTTTTTATCCCATTCAAGGAGGAACCACGCATGAAAAACCCCGATGAACTTTGATGAAGTTAGAGAGCAGATGTCCTACTCACTGAGCCACCATTGCTCCTACTTCATTTCGATTCCGGACACGGGACCTTAGTTTCTATCATCCCA